AAAAAAAAAAAAAAAAAGAAGAAACCAAGAAAAAGAAGGAGTGGGGGTAGGGCACCATAGGATAAGCACTTGACCTTAAGGTAATTTGAACCAAAGGTCAGCAGTTCAAACTCACCAGCTCCTCGGAAACCCTATACAGGGCCCCTATGAGTCGGAACCAACTCAAAGGCACTTAACAACAACAGGGAAATTTCGAGGGATTACCTAAATGACAGGACTTGGTAAGGCCCTAGTAAAGGTTTCATTAATTAGGAAGCACATGATTACATGTATGCCTCTGAAATCTAGTAGAAGGAATGAAACTTTACCCAGCCATGCTCTCATCCTTCGAACTGCAAAGTTCTGCTGACCTTTGACAGAACATGACTTCTGGATAATTTTATTGTAAGATAAAATGGCATTGCCGGGACTATCTTTTCTTTGTTAATTTTGACATTTTGAATACAAAACACCAGTGTCCAGTGGTGGTTATTTTTACTTAATTTTCTAAAATACACTTACAGAAATATGACACAAAGCGACAGATTGCACCCAAGGGACAGTTGAAATCATTTTGATAATGCAAATCATTCCTATCCACACATCTGGTCCATCATTGAAACTTCATACCAGCTAAGCATCCCATCAGTTATGTTTCTATTTTGTTAAGTTAAAAAAAAGTTCTCTCTGTACCCACGGCCAACCTTTCAGTTCACAATCAAGCACCCTTTGCACACCACAGGGATGCTGAAGACAGAATCTTGACCCAAATATTTAAAAGAAATAAAAATCCTAAGATTTCATGCTAAGACCATCAAATTTTACAGCTCCAAGTAGCTTCAGAAGTTACCTAGTCTAGGCCCTCTATGAGGTGGCAGAGCTTGAGGACAGCGAGCCCTGAGCACACCTCAGGAAGGGAGAAGGCTGAGGCCACACTCAAGGATTCAGGAGCACACACAGGACTCTTCCCCTACTAGCCAAAGAGCCAGTTTCAATTCACTCCAGGGTCTCAGTAATGAAAGCCAGATGGCAAGTCCCTATCTCCATAAATAATTTACTATGAAGAAATTACCCAAATCCATTTTCTAAAACACAGAATCTTTATCAGACTACAGCAAACAAATAGGTGGCTATTATACAACAAGGACCACACAGTCATTCCCCCCAATAAAATAATAATACATAATTTGGCGAGATTATGCTGTATTGGTGGTGGTGGTGTACTGTCAATTCAGTTCCGACTCATAGCAACCCTGTATAGGGTCTCCAAGACTACAATTTTTTGCAGGATTAGAAAGCATCATCTTTCTCCCACAGAGCAACTCGTACATTCCAACAGCTGACCTAGTGGTTAGCAGCCTAGTTTATAATCCACTACGCTACCAGGCCTCCTTAAACTACATCAAGAAGGGTTATATTGCTTACAATGCCCACCAATCACATACCTAACTCAAGAAGAGAACGGAGACTATCTTCATGTTCAATTATGTTTTGTGTAGGTGACTGCTTATTAGAAGTCTATGCATAGCACCTTTGTCTAAGACTGTTATAATGTGAGAAGTTTTCAAAGGTAACCAGGAACTCTCGGAATTTATTCATTTATCAGAGATTTTCTGAAAAGTATTTTTGGCTGAGCTTCAACTGACATGCCTTCCCATCTACATTGCTCAGTGGCTTGTCTCTGCAGTAGACATGAAGTTTAAATATGTATATGTTGACTTTTGAGCCACAAAAGTCATACTGTGAGGCTGTTAGCCACCCAGCTCAGCACCTCAGGGAGATCCAGAAAGGATTTCTTCTTTCCAAAGGTATAAAGTCTTATAGCAAGTTCTGAATTGTTCTGGGAAAGGAGCTTTGATGCAGTTGTTCACAACTGGCTGACTACTGTTTTCTTTTTAGTTTCCAGCATTGGAAAATTTTTAGCTTCTGTTCCCTCAAAGCACCCTACTCACGAGTCCCTTTGTTGTTCTGCTCACCCACACCTCCAGTTTAACACAGAAAGTTCCATTTTTTTGTCCTTATTTTCAGATCCTGCATCTACGTGTTCGACCCTGCGTATATTCCCCACTCTTATTTTACCCCATTACCCCACACAATTCCTTGTTCTTTTCATTATCATCTTTGGCAGAGATCCATAATGAAGATAGTCTCCCTGCTTCCATTTGAGAAGTGCATTCTTTTCTTTCTGGTTCTGTCCAATTTCTCTACAAGAAACATTTTACCTGGAAAATCTAGGAGATCCAGGAAGGTAGCATCAATGATGGCAGTGCTCTTCTACTGGTAACTGACCTTTCATCTCTTCCTGTCACTAGCCCTGCAAGGTGAGTGCTACTCTCACTACTTGCAGACAAGGAAACTAAGGTTCAAAGAAATCATGCAACTTGGAGAACATACGCCTAACAACTAGAGCTCCCTGAACCTGTTTCTCTGACAAAGTTCAGAATTCTTTAAGCAATAGAAGTACTTATCTATCAAAACAAATCCAAGGCTGTTAAATTCAAATTGTTGTTGTTGCTAAGTGTCGGGTCCAACTCATAAAGACCCGGTATAGGGTTTTTGAGGCACGGCTGGTGAACCTGAAAAGTCGACCTTTCGGTTTAAGCCAACTTTATGCTGGAGTGCTTATCCTCTAGGGCCATACCAGGACTCAACTCTTTAATCACCACCCTTATTGTAGTGGTGGTGGTTGTCAGGTGCCATTGTATTGATTTTGACTCATAAACAACCCATGGGTTTTCTAGGGTATCACACTTATGGGAGCCGACTGTAAGGTAGAGCCACTGGGTGAGTTCGAAGCACCACTCTGTCAGTCAGCAGCACAGTACTTAACCATTACGCTACCAAGACTCCTTTTATCCCCCTTTGTTGTTGTTAAGTGCCATCGAGTTGGTTCCTGTATACGGTTATCAAGGCTGCAAATCTTTACTGGAGCAGAAAGTCCCATCTACCTCCCTCCAAGTGGCTGGTGGTTTCAAACTACTGACCATGAGGTTGGCAGACCAACACATAACCCATTAGCCTCTGTTTTGTATGAGTAATTGAAACTAACATCAAAGCATTTTAAATACATAAATGAATAACTAAATAAAGTAAAACACATTAAGTGAAACTGTGAAAATGAAATAATTATTCATCTAGGGACCCAATGGCCGAGTCCACCTATGAACTGCTTTTGTAAACAACTGTTTGTTGGAACAAAACAACACTCATTTGTCTACACATTTTCTGTCTTGGCTTTTCTCCTACAAAGGCAGAGTTGAGTACTTTCCACAGAGACCTATTGTCTCACTGCAGCTCTATTGGATGGAACAGAACTGCTCCGTAGAACTTCTAAGGCCGTATATTCCCA